TGGTATCGTTGCATCCCTAGTCTGCACTGAAAATGAGCACTAAAAACAATCCAGCTCATCAAAATGTTCTGACTGCGTTATGCCATGTAGTTTACATCCTCTCTGCTGCATCCAACACTGAAGTTTTAGCATCAGAGAATCACAGCGACGGGGTCCTTTCGTCTGTGGCTTGTGTTGCTTTGGTCACAGATTCTCATCAGCCTCACACCGTCTGCTCGTCTTTGCAATCTAAGAGCAGGAGAATCTAAACCACCTACCTTCTGATTTGTCGATGGTCTGCTGAGCCACAGCTGCTACCAGCTGTTCTCTGAGTGCTTAAGCAGAGTAGAAAAGTACCACATGACAATCGCTGTGTGTCCTATGGAGCTACAACCAGTTTGGAAGCATTTTTCATATTGATTCACAAACTGTAGAGGAAGCTGTCTAACTGAGACAGACGTGGGAATATCACATCGTGTCTGTGCTGCATCGCTCTGCAGCTGATGAGTTACAGTTGGTGCTGTAGGAAGCACTGGTCCAGCACATAGCCCATCCAGATGTTTCTTTGAAGCAGCTGTTGCTGTAAGTCGCCACTATATAAATATATGTTTTACTACAATTTTTTAGGTCGTTTTGGCTCAACTGGCCCACAGCACAAAAGTCTTTTAGTTGGTTCTCAAATCAGTAACACACCTCCTCACCCACATCAAACAATCTCATTGTCTTCACACACACCTTTGCTGTCTCTACACGTGCTTCACTACTAAAGATCTTCATTTGCTACTGTGTTGATGCACTTCTCACTTAAGCATTTTGTACTTTTGTCAGCTACAGCTCTAGATCGCTCACTTTCCTGAATACTGTCCAGCATTGCTCATCCAAATTTCCCTTTCATGCACATCCCAAGGATGCTGTGCTGGACTGAAATCTGGTAACTGTCGAGGCTGTTGGAGTCCATCTGCTCTTGTCTAACCTTGGTAATAGTAGACATGATTATGCAGGATAATCCAGCCCATCGACAATGTCTGAAATACTCACAGCAGCCCGCCTGACACCATGAACATGTTCATCTTTCTTACTTTGATGCTCAGTTTGAGCTCCAACAGGCCGTCCTGTCTAAATGCTTTAAGTTCCTGCTGATGTCAAAGGCTGATTCGATGTTTGGATCGCTGTGATGAGCAGTGGAACAGGTGTTGTGTTCATTTCTATGGCTGCCGTGGTTTGATGTTACCTGTCTGTCCCCAGGCTCTACGTCCAAAGCAGGTGGGGTGCGTTTCCCTGACGATGACGAGCCCCCCGGCTCTCCAACACGGAGAGACGACCAGTCAAACGTCGCTACGCTCATTGCTGTCTCAGAGAAGGATGGCAGCTACTTGGTGAAGGTGTGTCTGCACACCGTGAAACGAACACAGTTGTTCGTCATGATTTCATCATTGTCAGCAATTTTTCAGGTGAAGTGTTGATAAAATGACCACAAGGTGTTTTCACGAATGAGTAGAGGAAGTCTCCTGGTTTACGATCTGTTCATGGATGTTTCATCCGGATACATTTGTAAAATGTAAAGTCCGACTGAGGAATGGTGGAACAACAAAACAACCTTAAACTGAGCCATGAAAATGTGACACCACGGGCTGTGTTAGCCCACATCCTCCTGAGCTATTTGATCCAATGTTTTCTACTCTCTGCCTCTAACACGTCGCTCCTCTGTCAAGGCTGGTTTCCTGAAGAGCCACCACTGTTATGAGATTGTCTTCACTGTCCCAGATGTCCCCACACTGGGCAAAGAGCTCTCATGTCTTCCATCCTCTTCTCCATCTCGGAGGCCGCCCAGCCTGCGGGTCCAGCGTATTAACTCCACACTGGAGGGTGAGTATAGGTGTACAGGAATACTTCAGGAC